TGGGGACAGAGTTCAAGGACTCTCGTCCCCGAAGTACATACAGGAGCAAGCCTCCTGCAAGGGTATGGCCCTGGGGACAGAGTTCAAGGACTCTCGTCCCCGAAGTACATACAGGAGCAAGCCTCCTGCAAGGGTATGGCCCTGGGGACAGAGTTCAAGGACTCTCGTCCCCGAAGTACATACAGGAGCAAGCCTCCTGCAAGGGTATGGCCCTGGGGACAGAGTTCAAGGACTCTCGTCCCCGAAGTACATACAGGAGCAAGCCTCCTGCAAGGGTATGGCCCTGGGGACAGAGTTCAAGGACTCTCGTCCCCGAAGTACATACAGGAGCAAGCCTCCTGCAAGGGTATGGCCCTGGGGACAGAGTTCAAGGACTCTCGTCCCCGAAGTACATACAGGAGCAAGCCTCCTGCAAGGGTATGGCCCTGGGGACAGAGTTCAAGGACTCTCGTCCCCGAAGTACATACAGGAGCAAGCCTCCTGCAAGGGTATGGCCCTGGGGACAGAGTTCAAGGACTCTCGTCCCCGAAGTACATACAGGAGCAAGCCTCCTGCAAGGGTATGGCCCTGGGGACAGAGTTCAAGGACTCTCGTCCCCGAAGTACATACAGGAGCAAGCCTCCTGCAAGGGTATGGCCCTGGGGACAGAGTTCAAGGACTCTCGTCCCCGAAGTACATACAGGAGCAAGCCTCCTGCAAGGGTATGGCCCTGGGGACAGAGTTCAAGGACTCTCGTCCCCGAAGTACATACAGGAGCAAGCCTCCTGCAAGGGTATGGCCCTGGGGACAGAGTTCAAGGACTCTCGTCCCCGAAGTACATACAGGAGCAAGCCTCCTGCAAGGGTATGGCCCTGGGGACAGAGTTCAAGGACTCTCGTCCCCNAAAAGAAAAGGAAGAAAAGGGTATTTACTCTTGAAAACCCGAGGAAGTTCCCCGAGGGTTTAAATGAAGACGTGCCGACCGGACGACACCACCGTTCAATCGAAAAACAAAAAGGCTAGGAAGACGATAAAAAAGAAGGTTGTGAAACTCACCCGAACGTCAAAAATGGAGTTTTTCAGGAAAAAAATGACTCCCACCAGAAAGTCCAGGAAATCAACAATGGGTTTGCTGGCTGTGTGATTTTGAGAGAAAGGGCAGTCGACGATGGCAGAAGAGACAAGAACTCCGGCGAAAGATCAAGAAAGGCGTACTCTGGACAGAAGATCGAAATGGCAAAACGATGGAAACCAGAGAAGAACCCCCTTTATATAGGGGGAAATTTTCATCATTAGGCGGGAGAACCAAAACAACGCATTTAATGCGCACGACGTCCAAAGTCGGGGAAAGCGGCTCGAGGCCATAATGAAGGACGGATGGCAGTTGGAAAACCCTTCGTCTCCTTACNGATAAATGAAAATGGAAGACACTAGCAAATTAAATAAGAAATGAACAGGATGGTTCTCTATGGAAAGCATCATAGTCCCCTTTTCACAATGATTGTTGGTTATGCTTAAAGCACAATTTTATAGTAGTCCACTAATGGCGTGCTTCTCAATACCCATGCACAATGACTCAATCAATGTGCAGTGCCCAAAATAATCTTCCACTGAAAATGAAAATGCTTCCTGTGGTGTACCACTCCCAAAAGCATTGGTGAATGCTTATCTCATACTGCTGAACATACCATTTTCGTTGCACCCACATGGACAACAAACAAATTGTATAATACGCTAATGGCCTTTTTCTTTACAATCAATGTTTGCAATCTTAAACTCAAAGCCATAATCAATAGTAGAATTAGGACTTGTAATAGGTCATATCGTCTACAAAATGATATATAGTCTAATCCGTGTCCTAGATAGTCATAATCTTCTCACAGCACGTTTTGTTGAAGGTTGGTATAATAGGTCAATTCAATTAAGATTAAATTCATGTTCGAGAATTGATATCCATTTTATGATGAATTAACAGAACATATGGAGAACTGTTGACCCTAAATAAAAGAGACATGAGAACTTGTGTTGTATGTTGGTATAATATGTCAATCCAATTAAGATTAAATTAATGTTCGAGAATCAATATCCATTTTATGACGAACAAACATAACATATAGAGAACTGCCGATCCCTAATTAGAACAAACATGAGCACTTGTGTTGTAGGTTGGCATAATAAAGGTCAATCCAATTAAGATTAAATTCATGTTCGAGAATCCATATCCATTTTATGACAAATTAAAAGAACATATGGAGAACTGCCGACCCTAATTAGAAGAGAAATAAGATGAGTTCAAAATAACCACAATACAGTCCCAGTTGTGTAACAGGTTGAAGGACTAATTAAGTTTAATAAATAATACTTAAGGGCTATATATCCAACACCCAATTTCACCTCGCCCTATATCGGAGAGAATCTTGGTAAATACGATCACATCTCTTCTAATACATTTTNATCGAAACGATTTAAGACGTTATTAGCTCGATACAATTTGATATAATGTCGTCCGCTAGATGATTTTTTTTGTCTCGAAACGATCTCAACTATTCTTTGTCTTTAAAATACAAAATCGTTCTACTTTATACATATATGTATGTTTGTGTGTGTGTGTGAGGAGAGAGAGAGAGGGGCATCATCTCTTGGTGGATCAAATANCATATCTTGCACGCTGTTTCAAGCAGCGTGTTTGGCCACTCAACCGGCTCACTCAAAGTTCACCAGGGGAGAGATCTGTTCCCAATATTTTTTATATTGTGCAGGATCTTGCACGCACACTTATAAAGAAAAAGAGGAAGAGAATTTAAGGATTCCATTAATGAGGAAAACATGCCTGGGTTCAGAAGAAAAGAAAGCAGCACAAAGAAATGGATGAGCATCTTCTTAGGAAAAACGTAAGGCCGTTAAGACCCTAAAAAAGCGAANGCTTTTCAATATGCTTATAAAGAAAATGAGGAAGAGAATTTAAGGATTCCATTAATGAGGAAAACATGCCTGGGTTCAGAAGAAAAGAAAGCAGCACAAAGAAATGGATGAGCATCTTCTTAGGAAAAACGTAAGGCCGTTAAGACCCTAAAAAAGCGAAGAGAGAATTCCCCAAACACTTGTCAAACATTAGTTTGCCTTAAAAGTAAACAAACAACAGGCATATTGTTTTGCTTCTAAATTCAATGATCGTACATTGTTCCACTGTTTCAGCTTTAGAAAATCTAAAGGTTGTACTGTACATGAGCATTCTCTGGTTGCNGAGAAGAGAGAATTCCCCAAACACTTGTCAAACATTAGTTTGCCTTAAAAGTAAACAAACAACAGGCATATTGTTTGCTTCTAAATTCAATGATCGTACATTGTTCCACTGTTTCAGCTTTAGAAAATCTAAAGGTTGTACTGTACATGAGCATTCTCTGGTTGCCGCATCTCTCTCTCTCTCATTTCTTTTTTGGTGGGAAACACTTGAGGACATATATATCTTAACTTTTTTGAAATTGTCAAATATGTTCAGTATTTTGTTTTAATCAAATGTGAAGTTTATTTATGGCAAGCATGTCGAATTCTACCTTCAATCTTGAAGTTCAACTTAAATGCTACCAGTATGTTTTTTACTGTTTAGAGCTTGATCACCAAGGTAAAGAGAAAAAAAAAAATCAAATTTGGAAGTCAATGTTTCTCTTAGCTTGATCACCAAGGCAAAGAGGAAAAATTAACATTGAAATTTGAATAATTTCGTATATTGATCAAAGATAAAATAAACTTACACCTTTGAAAGTCATAGAGTTTGTGCACAATGTTTTAAATACCATCCGTTGAATAAGATATTTTTTTTTTAAAGTTTGGGTGAATGACTAACCATTTCATAGCACAGGTACACTAATAATATTGGGTTAATTTGGAGGAAACCATTAATTTTTCTGATATTCTAATTTCAACTATTCTATTGACTTTCGGATTTAACCGATGTATTTAAAATTTATTCTAGAGGTATGCATCTAATATGACGCTAACTTGATGAACTTCCACATCATTAAAAAAAAATCTAAATTTTAGATAAATGAAAATGGAAGACACTAGCAAATTAAATAAGAAATGAACAGGATGGTTCTNTCCAACTTAAATGCTACCAGTATGTTTTTTACTGTTTAGAGCTTGATCACCAAGGTAAAGAGAAAAAAAAAATCAAATTTGGAAGTCAATGTTTCTCTTAGCTTGATCACCAAGGCAAAGAGGAAAAATTAACATTGAAATTTGAATAATTTCGTATATTGATCAAAGATAAAATAAACTTACACCTTTGAAAGTCATAGAGTTTGTGCACAATGTTTTAAATACCATCCGTTGAATAAGATATTTTTTTTTTAAAGTTTGGGTGAATGACTAACCATTTCATAGCACAGGTACACCAATAATATTGGGTTAATTTGGAGGAAACCATTAATTTTTCTGATATTCTAATTTCAACTATTCTATTGACTTTCGGATTTAACCGATGTATTTAATATTTATTCTAGAGGTATGCATCTAATATGACGCTAACTTGATGAACTTCCACATCATTAAAAAAAAATCTAAATTTTATATAAATGAAAATGGAAGACACTAGCAAATTAAATAAGAAATGAACAGGATGGTTCTNTTTCTCTTCAATTCCTTTCTTTACAAATTATTTATCATGAATTTTACATTTTCAAAACAAGAACGGATCAATATACAGAACCTTTATCAGGGATTTGTAAATGCTAAAAATACTATGACCATCCCCCGCCGGCTTACCATTTTTGTACACCCTAGTTTTGATTTGCATCGCAGGCTCATCGGCCATCTATGAATGAGATTGATCAAACAATTATTTACATATTTACATATCCCTATTTTTTCAATTCTAATTTAAAATCTCGAGATATTACGGTCAAAAGTTAAGTATATTGTCAAGAAGAAGAGAGTAGACTTCCATATCATTCTCCGAAAAACTATTAGCATTTCGGGAGTTAAAAGATACAAAAAAAAAAAAAATTTCTATCAGCTGCAAAAACCCTCATAATCTAACATGCAACCTCAAATTCAGAACACCCAACAGCTACTAGCAAGAACCTATAATAAGAGCTCTCACCACTCAAGACCGTCAAGAGACCCCTCAGAAAAAAGAAAAAAAACTCAGAAAAAAATTAAGGGACCTGATGTGTAGTTTCATGGGTCTCCATACATACCATTTGTACCTGAACACCACTCTCATGTTTCTGCTTTTCTCTTCCTTCGTCCTTTTTCTCTCTCTTCTCACTGTTACTCCCAAACGATGAAGCTCTACTGGAAATGGGTGTAGCCAAGAACGTTGGCTTCTCTTGTCCAGCCATGAGCACAAGAAATGTTGGCACTTCCAAGTTTTCATATGTATTTTTCTTTTCGACTTCACCTGCCTCAATATCTCTCTCACTACCTTCTCTTTCGTCGCCGTCGAGATGACCGGAAAGTTTCCAATACGAGCACGCAAGAATCAAGAGAGCGAAAGCGATGAGACCCAACATGGCCGCTAGTCCTCCAAAGAGGTACGGCACCGGTGAGTGCCACGGTGACCGCTGCGCCGGTGTTGATGTTATGTTCTCTACAGTCGTCATTTTATGTAGAAAGAATTGTTTATGTATTTATGCGTATATGAATAGGAACAAGGATGCGAACGATTGGTGATGGTTGTAGTTGTGGGGGTGGGGGTGGTGGAGTAGGAGGAGGAGAGGAAAGTGCAGTGCTACTGTGAGAGGCAAAGGTGGGTTCAGGTTCTAATTTATAGAGGGATTTGGTTTTTTTGTTTTGGTGAATTATGTCGTCATCTTCAAGAAAAGTGGGGCATGAATGTATGCTTTATCCATATCTAAGTGTATAATGAAACGCACTTAGTAGCAAAAGGGTTTGGCTTGGTTACTGCATAGAACTATTTTTATTCTATTTTAATAAGTGTGTACATCTAAATATTAAGATACCATGTGACACGATTTAATGGTTAGATGTGAGTCGGAAAGAGTCCAAATAAGACAAGACAATTAAGATAATAGAACCCCATGTATCTCGAAAAACAAAGAGTCATGGCAGACGTGACATCATGAATCGTCAGTTATGGATGGTTCAATGCACGACTAAAGAGTTGGAGAAAGTGACCATGATTTGACTCGTGGCAAGAAAATAAGGCTCCATCTGTTAAGAGTCATCCCTTACAAATATAGAAGGGAAGTCTACAGATACGGGATCTTACGATCAACAGACATTTACGCAGAGCCCGCCTATATCTTGCTTAGTTTATTTCTTGCATTTTTCTTTATTCTAAATACAGTAGTTTATACAACACTCTTTAATCAGCAATTGTCACTCCTGTGATGTTTCTTTTCGATTAATGCTAAATACAGTAGTTTACACACCACTCCTTGTTGTTCACTTTATTGTTCTTTTCAATAGTAGTACCTTTATCAAATTCTAATTCGTTAAGTTGCTTCAGTGGAAATTGTTTAAGTCATTGATCCCCAAGGTAGAGAAAAGAGTCTAAAAGTAGGCTTACGCTTCATTACAATTGCTTGAACAGTAAAGATTTTAGAATCTCACGCATGTTCAATTAAGTAAGGTCGTAAGTGTTTGAATCTTAAGTTTGTTTGGACTTTGGCATGCCCAAAATCTAAAATCTGCCAAACATATTTTTGGTTACGCCTAGTACCAATTGTAGCAACATGTTGCAAACTCGTGGAAAAGCCAAAACTAGCTCAGCTGACGTGCCTCCAGAGCACGAAGTGGTTGAAGAAAACAATTCTAGCATCCCCAACCTTCAAGAATATTTCCCTCCCCTTGGGGGCAAAAATATTGAGAATCTAACTTCGAGCTAGAAGCGTTGATAAAAACACTTTCCTATTAAGTTTTCCAATAGGTCTCTGGATTCATTAACTACTTATGAGATTTGATAAGAGAGGAATTTGATTGCACCAAGCAAGCGCTGGAGCAACTGTTTGAAAATTTGAACATATTAAGGGTTGTAAGGAAATTGTCGCTTCCCCCCCCCCCAACACCAGCAACCCAGCTTTTGCTTCCTCCGTATTTCCCCCCTTAATGGGCATAGCAGGCAAGATATGGCCTGTGGAGAAACAATCACCCTTTGTTCTAGGAGGATATGCCCCCTATTCCAGAGTTTGGCGGGCAAATAAGGCAACCTTGGGTTGTTCTTCCAACAACGCAACAAGTAGTTATGAATAGAGACTAGCTGGACGAGATTATTTAGGAGTACGTTGACCCCGCCATGAGATGAGTAACTAGGTAGATATTGAGCACGAATGTCCACACAGATACAAAGTGCTAGTATTTACTACATTCTTTGTAACGCCCCAAAACACACCCTAGACGGCATTACATTCTAAAACCATTCATATCATGAGAGCACTAATATAATTCTTTAAGAAACAAGACTTCATTTGTCATCCACGAATATTTACAATATTATCCAAAGAATAAGCCCAAGTCATGGCTATTACATCTCAAAAATTAATTAAAGAAGCGCAGCGGAATAAACAAAAGAAGCTATACTACACAATGCTCCAAAAGAATGTCCTAGTCTAGTACAAAAGGAAAGGAGATCGCTCTATGCGTCCACCTCGGGATCCACACTATTAGCGATAGGGGGTGAGCACGAAGCTCTGTAAAAAAATATTTCCAAACCCATACAAGGTTTAGAAAAGCATTTAAAACAGTTGGTCTCAATTTTAACATAACATAGATACATAATTTGAAATAAAGCAGTGACATTTAAAAAAGATATCAAGTTTATTTAAAAACATTACTTAAATGAATAAACGAGCACCACATACAAATAATAACCATTAATTACCATAACCAATTCCCAACAATTCTTTCGGTAGGTAGCATACTTTGTGGTAACCTCCACCCCCATTTAGATTGTCTTTGATTCTCAAGCATCCTTACCGGGAACCTCTTGAAAATGGATGAGTATCCTTACATGGAACCTCTCACCAATCACTACATTATTTTTCAAGCATCCTTACTGGGAACCCCTTGGGAAGGGGTGAGCATCTTTACAAGGAACTTCTCACTCATGTGCATCACAAAAAATCCAACCAAGCATACAATTCAAACATTTATCTCAATTTACAAGCATTTATCCAAAATCTCCAAAATATATCATATAACAATTTCACAACCAACTAAGAAAATACATGAGATCACAATAACATCATTTTTCTACCCAACACAAAGCACTAAGGTTTCAAAATCCATAATAAAGAAAGTATTTAGGAAGGAAATACATAACTCTCCAAAAATTAGGATTTTAAAACTAGAAAAGAGATTTCATGGGTATTAAACCCTACTTTGTTCAAAACATGTAATCCTCGCAAAAAGCCTAAAAGATGATGATTCCATAGCATATATATATCATTGATAGCCAAAATATACATATATAAATACCCTAGTCTCAACGTAAGTGAATGAGAGAAAATCCCGACCTTGAATCCTTAGCTTTGGTGTGAAGAACAAGAATATTTGATTTTGAATCACCCATGAATCTCTTGTTTTTTCCTTCCTTTCTTCTTCTCTAATACTCTCTAGGGTTTCAAGAGGTGTGGGGGTGTGAGGGGAGTGAAGGAAATGAGAGAAAATGAGATAAAAATGAGTTTAAAACATAGCAGTCCCGAAAAATAATGTTCACAGGCTGCTTTGGATTTCTCCAAATTTACGATTTTACCACTAAGAATCTCCAATTTGATCCATATGACTACCCTAAGGTTTTTCGACGTTCCGGATTTATTTTTAATGTTATTTTAACCTAAAAATATTTATTTTTATGATTTATCTCAAAATCCAAGTCGACGTACACCCGAAACACTAAAATTTCTATTTTACCCATCCGAATCGACTATTAATGAAATTTTGCGATGTTTACAAATAAAAGGTGATAAAGGGTGTTTTTAAAGCCTTTTATACTTATTTGAAGCCTAAAAGTACTCATTATTCTTATATTTTGATTTAGGATGCGAATGGAGACATTAAATGCAAAACGAAGCTAATTGAACTATTTCGACATCGTTTCGTTATCTGAGCATAACTCTCTCATCCAAACTCCGATTGAGATGATTAAAGATGCTATGTAATGATACGAAAGATCTCTAAAACTTTCATGTTTTGAGTTTTGAGAGATATTGACTGCATCAAGGTCTAAATTGAGCTTGAAGTTGTAGTAGTGCACTGTTCACAGCCTGTCTTCGTCCCTTTTCCATTTCCAATCCATTCCTAAGCCAACCAAATCCATTTCAAACCTCTCCAACACATATTTCTACACCAAACCTATTTAATACAAGTTCTAGGACCTAAAATTTCATATTTTCACTTATTAAAACCAAATTTCAACTATTATTTTCACTAACATTTTAAATCTCTACTTTTCCAATCTACCAAATTCAAACACACATCACTACATATATCCACATTTTTTTTACCACAATTATTTACTATATATGTATATACATATAAAAAATAAAATGCGGGGTGTTACAATTCACCCCCTTAAAGAAAGTTTCGTCCTCGAAACTTACCTCAAGTAGCGAACAAATATGGATACTTCTCCTGCATTTCTTGCTCCGGTTCCCATGTTGCTTCCTCCACTCCATGGTGTTGCCAAAAAACCTTCACCAATCTGATAACTTTGTTGTGAAGCACTTTTTCCTGGGCGTCGAAAATTTCTACCGGTTGTTCTTCGTAGGTTGCTCCGTCTTGAATTTCAATCTCCTCCAAGTTCACGACTGGATTTGCATTCGAGTGACACCTTCTCAACATGGACACGTGGAACACATCATGTACTCCGAATAGCTGGCCTGGTTGTCGAAGTTGATATGCCGCCTTGCCTACCGCGTTGATTACCTCAAACAGGCCGGTATATCTTGGTGCTAACTTCCCTTTCTTGCCGAATCAAAATACGCCTTTCTTGGGTGACACCTGGAGAAATACGTAGTCTCCCACCTTGAATTCTAAGGGTCTTCGTCTGTGTTCCACATAGCTCTTCTGTCTACTTTGCGCCGTCCGTAGCCTCTCTCTGATGAGTTGAATCTTCTCCGTAGTTTCTCGAACAATATCCGATCCAAACAAACTACTCTCGCCGGCTTCTAACCAACACGTCGGTGATCGGCATGGTCTTCCATAGAATGCTTCATACGGTGCCATCCCAATACTTTCTTGATAGCTGTTGTTGTAAGCAAACTCCACCAACGGTAAGTGGTCGCTCCAACTCNCATCAGTGATCAGCATGGTCTTCCATACAATGCTTCATACGGTACCATCCCAATACTTTCTTGATAGCTGTTGTTGTAAGCAAACTCCACCAACGGTAAGTGGTCGCTCCAACTCCCCTTGAAGTCCAACGCACAAGCGCGTAACATATCCTCCACAATCTGTATCGCCCTCTCGGATTGACCATCTGTTTGGGGATGAAAAGTCATACTGAAGTGTAACTCCGTTCCTATCGCTTGTTGTAGACTCTGCCAGAATCTCGCCACAAACCTAGAATCACGATTCGACACAATCGAGAGCGGAATGCCGTGTAACCTCACTATCTCACAGATATACAACTGGCTCAAAGTCTTGAATGTATCCATGGTCT